GCGAATGAGGAGGGAGCAGGCAGCTTTGCATTTCTGTGCATTAATCTGCATAAATTTATAGCTGCCTGTGTTCACATTGTGTATGGGTTTATTATTCATAGTTGACCTTACTATCAGCTTGTGTTTTGATGCATTTGGTTATGGGGCACTGTTGAGAAAGAATGCATTATATGCGGTCTTATGTTGGCTCCCTTCTGGTAGAGTGTTAGCGGCCTTCCCACAATGACGCAGCACTGTTCCTGACTGTAGATGCAGGAAAACTTGTTGCTGTGGTTGCCCATGCAGTAACTACTGTGTTGTTTTTCTGTACATTCTCTAGCAAAGCTACAAAAATTTCCCAAGCCCTCAAATCTATCTGTCGGAACAAGTGGGGCTATGGCCCATCTGCAAGTAGAAATCTGTACCTAGCAGCCATCGAACCGATTATTACTTATGGGGCAGAAATTTGGGGCTCGTCAGTGACAAGGGTCCACATAAAAAGGAAGCTGCTCTCCATTCAAAGGCTATCGGCCATTTCTATAGCAAAGGCGTATAAGACAGCTCCTATCGAAGCTCTTCTGGTTCTCAGTAACCTCCTTCCAGTGGACCTAAAAATTAGGCAAGCCTACATCCGGTATAACCTGACTAACCTGGCCGAGGACAAAATCTCCTTGACAAACTACTGGATCTGGTCTCCAATGATGAATACAAAAATGACATCAACTCCATTGGTGTTCTCATCACTGACAACTGACTTGACAAGGACAACGATGCTACACCTATTCACCCTAGTCTCTCCATCCCTCAGGACATTGACACCACCACAAATGATAGGTTAATTATAAACATCTACACCAGGGGTGGCCAACCTTTTTCATACCATGTGCCAATTTTTTGACAGACGAGTTCAAATGCACCATATAACTCGAACACTTTTTATACAGTGTTACGTTCAATGTTAGGGGTTGATAAATAGAGATAAGAATAAATCTGCTTCGCTTAGGGGAAAAAAGGGAATAACTTAATCACGCAGTTGAATTAATTAATTTATGACAGTTTATTGAAGCACCAATTTACAATAGTTAACAATGATCTCCTGTACAAGAGGGTGATTGCTTCATGATGGTGCTAATGCTGCCAGAGTCTCGTTTGGTGAGATTACTCTGCACCACTATTATTGGCACTGAGAACGAGATCAGCTTGGAATAACTTTAATCACAATAAATGTTTTCGGCCATTTACACGCCTGTAAACTGATCGGAAATAAAGATCGCAAGACTCAAAATACATGCATACATTGTAATTTACTATGTGGAGAATACTCATTTTATCTGCAAAATAGACCGTAACGAATTGTGCAACAAATGAACTTACTAAGACAGACTATAAAAATTTATTTTTCTATATAATATTCTTAATTTCAAAAAAGCCAAATCTGGCAATTTTGCTCAGAACTAACTGAAGCGCCACTTGTAATCGTCCAATGCGCCACGTTT